TTCACTTTCAAGATTTTTCAAGGATGACCCAGCAAAACCTGCCTGTCATGAGTTCAGCTCACTAAGATCTGATGAGAAACTGGGCAAATACAAACGTTAACTGTATTAGACAATGCACCATCCGACAAGAAACCACCAAGTATAAGGCTGGCGCTCTTCCTCTGAACATATATCAGACTGCTATCCACCGGGGAGAATGGCTAGAGTTTGCACCAGTTGAAAGAGTAGAACCTGAATTTTTAAAGGAAGAGGGAAGAGAAGGCGCGCCTACATCGGGGGACCCAGGAGACAATCAGCTCTCTGAATACGATGACAACTTCAGGTAGATGGTGCCACTCGTGATATGCAGAACAAGTAGCTCGGTTGCCTTTTTGCATCACGCAGAATGCTAAGTGGACGAATAGTGAAAAAAACAAACAAGGCTTTGCTTTGGACGTTATTTTTCAAAATGAAACGGTATGTAACTTTTGTGTAAGGAAAAACGTTCTCCTTTTTTTCCATGAAGCGTGAAATGCCTATTTTATTTTTCGTGAAACGTGATCTAGACCCCCCCCCCTTTACACCCTCCTGAGTGGCATCTCCAAAGCTAATGATGTCTATTTTTGGCTGGGGATGGCAGACTCAACAAATGGAAGACAAGGTGATTGGTATGGTTGAGATCAAGTCGTGAAGAAATTTCTGTGTTACAATTTTGTGCCTTAGCATTTTGTATTACATTAACTTCATTTATATCTCTGTTTGCAATTGTATTTACCAGGTGAAAAATAGAACAAATAATTTTTCACATTGTAAGTACATAAATTTATGTTAAATAAGACATTTAAAACTGTACATGTATGGCTTCCATTTTTAGTTAAAGAGTGGTGATCGAAAGAGGGGTTTTTGTGTCTTATCTAGGGTACAACATATAATCTTTTGTTGAGGAATTTTTTTAATCTCACCTGCGAAGCAATCCACAAGAACTGGATTCAGAGGTGCTGTTGAGGGGGCAACAACAAACACCTCACAATCCTTACTGCGGTCCTCAAATTTTTGTTTCATTGGAAAGAAATACAAAATCGTCCATTTCAAAGATACATGTATCATGTAGTGATAAACTTCAAAATTATCTATAAACTAATAATGGTCATTGCCTAACTATCACAGTGCATATTAAGTAGTCAAGTCTATGGTCAAGTGAGCGTTTGATCATGTTGAAGATCTCTGTTATTATTTCTTTTTTTCCTTTATATAAAATCAATTTTTTTAATGCATAGAAACTATAGACAAAAGCCATGGATTGTTTTACTGATCAAAAGCTTGCACCTTCAAAGAATATACATTATAAAGAAAATAGGTAAATTGGAAACTAGGCAAAGGGCAACCAGGTGACATGGCATCTTGATTAACGTAATAAATTACTACATGTATATAAATTAATTGACATTCTGAACTGTTTTCTTCACAGACCATGACTAGCCTATAATATTTTCTGCAACTAAACAGCATAGTTTACACGTCATTTTAATTTCTTCCAAAACAACTTTTTAAATAAATATCAGGAAATGTAATTTCATGACCACAGTGAATTAACAAGGGAATCCAGGAAAGAAAGGATGATAAGGATTGTAAGTCAGTTTCCTTTATGCAATTACAGGGCAGTCCCTTTAACATATCAGAGGAATGACAGAAGCTATAGAGAGGGGAGAGGCAGCACTGGTCTCATTAAGATCTTACCGGTTTGTTGATGATCATTGTTATTGTTGTTGTCATTATTATTATTATTATTATTATTATTATTATCTGTGACAGTGTCAAAAGCTCAAGTTTACAAACATACATGTACATCTAGCAAGAAGATGCAATGGGTCGTACAGCTATAGTCACTGGAGAAGTTTGATTCCATTTACAACCCAGAGTTAATGATATTTGTCAAGAGTAATTTTTATCTGATCCTTTTGACAGCTGTGACAGAGAATATCAGAGGAGAGACCTTCTCCTGCAACAGAAGAAGGAACTGGAAGAATCGATGAGAAGGAACAGAGAATAAGGTTAATTCAATGAAATAGCTTCTTTTGAAATTTTTACCACCTCTTAGTTCCAGCTAGAGCATTAATACATATAGTAATCAGTTCTTCTGCTATATAATTGCACAAACTATTGTTATTTTTACCTACTGTTTAGTCTCATATAATAGGGACCTTAAGCAAGGTAGACGAGAAGCCCTGAGGACAACAACCGCAAGTGAAAATACCGCTTAGCGCACTACTGCACATGCTTCACTCATCATCCACGTGAAGTTCAGAATGTGAAAACGCCATCTTTACCAACCAGGTCGAACGTCACGAGAACATGAGTATAAATTTATGTATTTTCATCTTGTTTAGGAAGAGAATTTATGTTTGGCTTTTGAAATGAAAGTTAGATATTCCTTAGTTTCTAATCTTTGCACAGTATTGAATCTTACTATGATTTTGAAACATGAAAACTTTGTAAACAGTCAAAAATTTGGGCTTTGTGGGATTTACATCTTGTCAGCAAAACATTCAAGTTACGAAGATGAAGTCGAGAACTAACAAAGTAATTACTTGTTTTGTTTTATTTACCTATATGCAATCTTTTACAATTGTTTTAACTTGAGCAGTAAATTTTCACGCCGTTAAGGTCATTTTAGAGTCTACTTTTCCGAAAAATTAACTTACATTTTGATGTGAATTTCCTTAAAATGGAGTGGACAGAACTGCATGACTTAAATCTTTGCGAAGAAGGTTTAGTTGTTGAACCTTGGAAACATCCTTACCCTAGTTAGGACAGAGGAGATTCATGGAACAAAATAGCAAACAATATAAATGCCTCTGATTATCCTACGTTTAAAGTATCAAAGAGAAGTGTCAGAGACAGGTTAACATTACTTCAACAAAAATTCCAAAGCGAAAATGAGAATGGAGGAAGCCGCTTCTGGAATAGACTGTCAGGAAACAAAGCTACACAAAGTGTTAGAAGAAATCAGAGAAAAAGAGGAAGCGGCCACGGATGTGAGAAGCCTGCAAGATGATAACAAGAAAACTGAAAAGGTGCAGCAGAGGAGCACTGTGGCCGAGCAGTTGAGCGTTTGGGTCAAACCAAGAAAAGGAATGCTGAGAAACAAGACGAAAAAGCCCAGATGGCAAAGAAAGGAAGAAGATCAACGTCGGAGGTGGTGCAATTTCTGAAAGAAAAGTCAGAAAGAGAGAGTGTGCGGAGAAAGCAGGATTTAAAGTTGAGACGAAAGGAGCTGAGTCAAAAGGAGGATATGATGAAAATGCTAGCACAACAACAGCAGCAGCAGGCTCAGCTTATGCTTTGCCAGTGCTTGCAAAGGGCCAAAATAAGAAGAGTTAAATATCCGCTGTTTTATCCATCCAAGTGTTGGTTTTTCCAACGTTGTTGTTACTGGAAGTTTGACCGTGAAAAAGTGCTGAGGCAGCATGCATATTTTCCAGACATGCAATAACGCACTGTTTGTATTTGAAGGTATATTTTGCGACTGCAAAGTTCTAATGGATTAGTGTTGTTGCAAAACCTTAAATTGATTAAATTCAAGATTCATGTTTCAAAGTTTTAAGTGTATTTTATGTGCATCTCTGTACATCTTGTCTGACTGGCTACAATCTTCAGTGTTGTATTTGAAGCTACAACATTTTATAGTGATTAAATTTAAGCTTTTTGTTTCGAAGTTTATTTTACGGTTATACAGTGTATGCTCACTTGACTAGCTACAAAATGAAGCCTCCTGTAGCAGTTGGAATTGAGGGGTTATCTGTCAAAGGTAGAAGGGTCAGAAAATATCAGGAAGGGGTAGGGCAACATTTTTCCTCTTCCCCTCCCTTGGTAAACAATTAACCTCTACGTTTGTGGTATGACTGGAACACTCGCCAGCAGGCTGCTATCACCAGTTAATGCATCCCAGATGTTCTGCTTCTTGGCTCGAACTCAACTTTAAACAAAAAATCTTATAAAACAGTTTGTCATTTATTAATACACTCCTATATCCAATTAACCCGCCTTCTCCTGATACACCCTGGAATAAAAAAGTAGTCAAGGAAACAAGGCATTGCTATTCACATGAAGCTTTCACAATTGCACTGACATGTCATTCCTCTTTGATTTCCGGTATATTTTTTGAATTACTTTCAAGCAAAGTAATCTTGTAGTGTTGGTGGATCTAAGTTAAAGTATTATGTTGTCTGATTTGGATATAGGCATGTAACAGCATTCCTGAGAATTGCACAAACGATATACATCTTTCCTACACTACTCAAACTAATTTTTAGTCTTTTTAAAGTCCATAAACTTAAGATAATTGACAATGTCATTAAACAGCCATTTTACAGACTCTCGCACTCTACTCATAGACTCGTTAAAAACAATCATTGCGGGATTCAGGGCTCTATTTCGAAATGGCGTCTGTAAGTAAATTCTATGAGGGTATGCCGGATCTCCGTACAAGCAAAATGGATTGCCAGCTGGTGAATTTGCAAAGCGTTGCAGGTCTTAAAGAAGTCCTGAATCAGCTAGCATGCCAGCATCGTGTTTACGACCCTCTGAAACAGTAAAAGGAAGTAAAAAATATGCAAGGAACTAGAAATGCTTCTTGTACAGGTTTGTCACATAAGCCTCTCACTCTTTACCGCTGACACTCTTCCAATATTTCTTGATAAAAACATAGTGAAATTGAAATCACCCACTCTCTCTTTTTACAAACACTCCCCACTGGACCATATAGGCTACTGGAATTTTAGAGCATGAACCCTCTTATGGCAGTTGTAGATGACTCTTTGGTGCTCTCCTGGTCTGCATACGGGTCGAACGGTCCCATCAACGAACCCAAAACAATTATGTAAAGCAGCTCCTTTGTCAGCAATCGCATTACTGTAAATCTGTAATGCAGCTGGATTAAGCACATTGTGGTTCCACTGTGTTATGCAATGTCTGCGAGTGTTATATATAAAATCCAAGACGTCCTTACTGACCATACTGAGAACTGGTACCGGCAGTCCAAATTGAGAAATCATGTCACTGTATCTGCATGGATAACTTAATCTGCTAAGAAGAATGCAGAGACCTTCCATTCCGTCAACAACACTTCTTTGATAGCATCTGAAGCTATCAGGTATTTGAAGAACCTTTGAGAGAATTTGCAAGTCGTGCTTTCTAAATCTAAACTCTGAAGGAAAACCTGTCGTATTCCTTGTATGAGAAATTTAGATTTTTCGGTATAAATTGCTTGTGTAGTAGCAAAAACTCATCTTCATCTAGAATACCATCCTCATAACTCAAAAGAAGTTGATCTTGGACCTCATGAAAAGAAGACATGATAAAATTATTGGACTGTTCCTCGATTTTCACGATAAATGAGCACTGTTTTGTTTACACGTCCTCATCCACGTTCAAGTGCGCGCTTAACATTTTAGTTTTCCCCCGTGAACAACGTCCTCGGCCTAGTCCCTCAGGAACTCTACTCGTCGTCGTCGTCTAATTAAGGTCCCTAATTTGATAACTCTGACAACTATTTCCAATTAATTTTACTTTTAGAACGAAAAGGAGAACATTCATGAGGTGAGTGACTCATTCCATCCAACCTGTTGTATTTTTTTTTGAAGTTGTTTTTTTGGTTGACCTGCTGAATATCAGAAAATAGTATCCCTGTGGATAAAATATAGAAAGGCTTAAAGTTTAATAACTATGGTGTGGTAGATGTCTGCTGAACACTGGAACTGATAGTTTTGTTAAAGGTTTCACTACTATTTAACTAGAGTACAATACATTGATGCATCATTTCTTTTTACTTGTTGTGGCACCCCAAACAGACAGTGTGAAGTGTCATGAGTAAACATTTGTTGCGCCAAGAATTAAGGAATTACAAATGACCATTTTCATTGGATAAATTAATTAGCTTTCCTATTGTTACATTAATTGATACTCCTGAACACAAATTAATTACAGATAGCAGTACTGCAGCATAGAAAATGCACCTCTGTTGACAAACAAACAAAAACAAATAAAATACAAAAGGATCACTCTTACTTGTCTTTTTATTACTTTTGGAAGGAAAAAGGGGAGACGTGAGAGTAAGTCACCATTTTTGGGGCAGTTTTGAAGAATTTCCATTAATCACAATGAGACATTGATAATTATTACATAGCAATATCAAATTCAGTTTATGACTTTGTTCAGACCACAGTCAATATATATCTTGACCAGAAGTTGGTTCCCTCAATGAAAAGTTGGACTTGCAACCAAAAATGGAAAAAAAATTCAACTTTGTGGTTATGTTGAAAGCGAAGCTTTATGTAGCAGGTGTAGTAGCTGTAGTATCTGTAGCAGGTGTAGTAACTGTAGCAGGTGTAGTATCTGTAGTATCTGTAGCATCTGAAGTAGATGTGGTACCTGTAGTAGCTGTAGTAGCTGTAGGAGGTGTAGTACCTGTAGTAAGTACCTGTAGTAGGTGTAGAACTTGTAGTATCTGTAGTACGTGTAGTACCCGTGGTACCTGTAGTAAGTGTAGTAGATGTAGTTTCTGTAGTAGCTGTAGTAGGTGTAGTACCTGCAGTAACTGTAGTATCTGTAGTACGTGTAGTATCTGTATTCTGTAGTACCTGTGGTAGGTGTAGTATAGTAATAGTTTTGCATTACCGCATCATTGTACAGTATTGCAAAAGCATACGTATTACAATCAAAATATAAAACAAACAACTCCAATAACGAACCAAAAAAATAACTGCATTACTAACATTGCATCATGTATTTTCATACAGGAGGAAAAAACTCCATAACTAACTTGTTTACATGATGGTTTTTCGAATTCATTATCAGTTTCATGCTTTCTGGAGATGATTTCTTGTCAAAGTCCGGTGTTATTCGATTGATTTGATTAATGAATGCCTGTCTCTGTACAGTGTTTTTTTTTGGTAGAAGAAATGAATCTCATCTTTTACCTGATCTATGTTCTCCTGACAAATGATCTATTTGGTATCGACCTTGTTCAATCAGAAGTTTGTGATTACTTATTTTAAACTTAACCAAAATGTTTTCATTCATCATAATGTCTTAGCTGGTAGAGATAATCAGTTGTAGAATATTCATCTTTGAAAGTTTTATAAAATGCTATTTTTTTTTAATTTTCAAGACTGTGTCGCCAAAAAGATAGGAGATATTTCTCTCTCATTTCTGTGGTATATTGTCCAATTTTATCATTATCTAAAGATTCTGTATCTAAACTGGTTAGATTGTATTGTTCAAACATGTTTATGAATTTGCAATAATATCCGGAATTATTCATAGAATGTAGATTCTTTGACATAAGGAAAGAATGTTTGATTATAGAGTCCTTATCGTTGTTGTTTCGATAAACAAAATAGTTCATAAATGTTTTGATTTCTCGGGATAAGCAGCGGCAATCTACCAAGTTCAGCTCTGCAAGCTATGTTAGAGGCCTTATTGTTTACTTGTAAATAACGTTTAAAGAATTTGAGGTAAATTTTCTCTATTGGGGAACTAACCCATTTTTTAAAATCTTGCTCGGTGCACATCCCCCGTACCTTGCTGTTGTAACTTAAGATGGGGAATATCCAGTGAATATCATTGTGTCAAGAATTTGGAATGCGGTATCAGGATTAAGTTTATTAAGAACTGTCTGCTTCCGAATACTAGAAAACGCCTGAAGGGCGTTATCATTGTCTATTTAAGGTGGCTTATAACAGTTTTCAGATGACACCTATTGTCTTTTCAAACTTGGACATTTTTTACAACTAAAGGCATTTACTGGACTGAATTGATGTAATTAAGCTTGTCAAAACATTTTTAATGCGTAGTATAGCGGGAAATATAGTGGGCAAGCACCCATAAAGAGGACTGGAAACTAGATCTGCGCTGGATCAGAAGGCAATGTAATAAGATGACAAGACACCCAAGACACAAGCAATGCCAAAAATTCAGGGGACAGTCACAGTGCAGCGCTGGACTTTCTCTACTTCATCAATCGCTAACAGAGGTGTAGCGCTCTATTAAACTTGCTGAATGGAGAGCTTGCCTTCAGTTTGAACACGTAATAGTCTCTACACGAGTCAATCAGGTGGGTATAGAGCGGGCAAGCCAATATTCCTCTTGTATAAGAGAGACGCCCATTAGATATGGAGGAACTCACTTATTTTGTTTGCAGGGACTCACTTTTTTAACTGGTTATAATAATGGGTGATGTCATGAACGAGTAGTGTAGGAGCTGCTCGGAAGGTCTTTCCTAATTGGTCGCAAGGAACAAAGACATGTCAGTCTTTGTGGTCAGGGTTAGGCACCATTGGATCCTCCTGAACTAGATCCTTGCGCATGTTAATACTAGGGAACCCACCAACAGGGCTTATCTTTCAACATAGTACACTACTCTAGCCGACCAATACTACCAAGTGTAGAATAGCTGAACTTTTATAGCCCGAAAGTGCCTCAAATCTCAACCAATAGATATAGTTGTACCATAATCTACCTAAGGATCAAAGACTTTGATATAGACAGGGAAAAGTGATTTAAAGGTGGCTTCGTTAACGTCATTTATTATGGTGTGATTTCTTATTCTTAAACTTCTTCACCTTTTGTCGAGTTAATGTACTTCTTCATACCTAAAGCTTCATCATGCCATGTCCACTTTAATTTTGAGTATTAGGCGGTTCTGCGCGAAAGGGGGAAGAGATAAGGCTTGATACTCAGTCTACGTCTGCTTCTATACTGGTCTGTCAACATACAAGAACAACAACAACGAGCTTTATTTTCACCGCCATAAAACGTTTCAGCTTAAACAGAACTCCATCAGTCAGAAACACAGCTGAACAGAAACTCCAAACTTTTCATTCAAAACGTTTTTATCACCTAGAAAGCCAGTTCAAATTTTTACAGTTTTTATTATCAATATTTCGTGAAACGGGTTTTTTAAAATTACCTTGACGCGTGACTTCTCTCATATATTTTACTGACATGAAGCGTGAATTTGCACTTCTTTCGTAACTCCTTTTGCTTAAATGACCGATTCAAATCACTCAGGAACCCTCTTTAGCCTCTTCTTCCCACAATAAAGAATAACGGGGAATAGACTGAAATGATTGCATTTGTTGCATACGGAAGTTACAAGAACTTCTTTGGACAACTACTAAAAATAACGAATACGTTACGTTTTGTACTCAGTTACCCATGTTCTCCGTTTACTTTAAGTGTAAAATTGTATTTACAAGCTCCCAGTAAGTTTTAGCCCTGTCCAAAGGTGACGTCACACACAACAGAGTTTCGAGTTTCTCTCTTTGACTTTTCGTCGGGGACAGCTGTCAATCACCAACACTGACCAAAAGGATCGAATCGAAGTTGCAATTTTTTAAGGCTTTTCATGCTTCAGTTTTGTTCCTTTGTATATCTATGTTGATCAAGGATGTGTATGTGACGTTTTCCCTTAGTAGCCCGCTTCATACTGACATTGGTACTAAATTTTCTTACTATCACCAATTTCGGTGTGACTAAGAGACTAAAGTATGTAATCGGACTGTAACTTTTTCTCAAGTTAAAAAGATGACTTGACAGGAGCAGTAGTAGAAGTATTCAGCAGTGACGTCGGAGAAGGCGCCAGTAGAGATGAGAAGAAAGAAGGCAGTGGTGGCGAAGAGAGCGGAGAAAGTAGCGACGAGAACGAGGCACAAAATAGCGAAAAGAGCGCAGGAGAAAGTACCACTGACAGCGAAGGAGAACTAACTAGCGAAGAGAGCGAAAGTGCTAATAACAAAGAGATCAAAGGAGAAACTGATGCAGATTTACCTGAAGGAGGCAGCGACGAGAACAGTGCAGAAGGAAATGGCAAAGAAAGACAATGCAGGGACAAGGAGGATGGAAGAGGCATTGATGATGGGGTGGAGAGGAACCAGGGGCCACACGACGGCTGGAACGTAGGAAGAGAGGCAAGTTAATTTGTTAATGGTCAGCTATTGTACCATAAATAAACTGAACATAGGTCCATTCCTATGACATTGGATATCCCCATATAAAGCAACCTTGACTTAATTAATACTGCTCTAATAATCGGATTAATTGAAATTTTGGAACCTTCGATGAAAACAATTTTTCTTCCTTCTTACTTGCAGGGAAAACAGAAGTAGAGAAGCTGAGTGATGACCTAAGCCATTTTTCCTCCTGATCACCCAGAAAAAGAAAAGGAAGAGACTAACTCATATAAATAACAAATGACCCATTCACACCGAATAGACATGTTTAATAAGTAAAATCCCTAGGTTAAAAAGGAACACAGGGTCCTACATGGATGTAAATGAATTAACTTCAAGACGTTG